GAGGGGTCACTATGAGTTGGTCCGACACCATGGCACATAACAACAACAGCAATAGCATGTAGATGCCAAACCCATACATCTGGAGTCATTGATACTTCTTCCTTACTAGGTCTAATCAGCGTAATGTCATAAATGTAATGGAAAACTGTGATGTCTTATGGGAGGAAAAGTTGATCGACTTATCTGTGGACTAAATTATTACATTCTTCTGGAAAGTAGATATACCTCTGAGGTAACACAGTGAAACCATACTGTTGGCCTTGCCAGTGAAGGCAAACTGTTCCTAATGATCCTTCAAAATTAGAATTGAGAAAAAGACATTGGCCAGATCAATAGATGCATATAAGATACCCAAAGATATATTAATTTACTCCAGAAATGAAATCACATCTGTAACAGCAGCTGCAATTGTAGTCTACACTTGATTAAGTTTCTGATAATCCATTGACATTCTCCAAGATCCATCTGTTTTATGAACAGTCCAAATAAATGAGTTAAATGGGGATGTAGTGGGAATAGAAACACTTTCCCTGCATTCTTCAAGTCCTTGATGATGCCACTAATCTCTGTCATCCCTCCAGAAATGCTGTATTGCTTTTAGTTTACTATTTTCCTAGATGAGGGAAGTTTTGATGGCTTCCACTTGGCTTTTCCTATCATAATAGTCCTAACTCCACATGTCAGGGATCCAAGGTGGGGATTCTACCAATTGTTGAGTATATCTATTCCAATTTGTATTCTGTAACTGGGGAGATCACTATAGGATGGGTTTTAGGACCCTCTGGACCCACAGAGAGACAGAACTGAGCTAAGACTCCATCAATAATTTGACCTCCATACAAGCCTACTCTGACCAGTGGGCCACAGTGACATTTTGGGTCTCCTGGAATTATTTTCGATTCAAAGCCAGTATCCAGTAAAACCCAGAAGTCTGATTACTTCCTTTTCTCCAGTGAACAATCATTCTCGTAAAAGGCTGTAACTCCCTTTGGAGAAGGCTGGGAGAAAGATTAACATTACACAATTTTGGCAGTATAGAGAGGTCATTTCTCAAGGGGACCTGGCCTCTCCTTCTTTGTGGGTGTGTAAACTGGATCATGTCTGGGAACTGATTGACTCTTTTATTCTGGCAACTAAATTTAGATGCTTGCTCACTTGATCTAGAGTTCTTCTACTTGCATAGATAAAATAAATGTTTGATTTATTTTATCAGATTTCCCATCTATTTCACTGCTAGAGACAACATACCTAAGTAGCCAATGCCATAAGTCCATATTCTGATTACTGTGTTGATGCTGCTGTCCATTACAGTAATCATGCCCACCTTGTTTTTGTTCAGTAAGTGCTGCCACTTGGCCCCTCCACTATGGCATCCAGCCAATCTCATTGTAGTTCAGGGTCCTAATTCAATTAGGGCAGTTCCCACTGTCAAATCTGGCTTACACAAAATAGCAATCACAGCAGTCTTCAAGGATGCTATGGCTTCCTTCACAAATTTGTTCCTCACAATAGTGGTAAAAGATGTGGCATTCCATTTCTGTATCTATGGGTCTAACCTGATATATCCATTCTAGCATGCAAAGTTCCCTAAGTCTTTGGACACCATCTTCTACATTACACCAAGTTAGATCTGGTAATTCAACTTCACTTAGTGTAGAACACTACATAACATGCTTCAGAAGCCAAAGAAGTAAACTGTTAGATCCTTTCCTAACCTCTGGAGCTGAAACATTGAATGAAGAATCTGTGCTTAGTGGGTCTAAATCAATAAACTCAGAATAATTCAACATTTTATTCCTTGCACCATTATTCCATACCTTTATTAGCTATTCACGTACCTATTCTCCAGGTTTCTGCATGTACATAAAAGAAAAACCAAGCAATTCTTTTTGAGTGTAGCATAGTCTTCTCAGGTCACACTTTGTACGTCACCTTTTTTAGCTCACTAGGATATAAATCTAGTTATAAGTCTAGAAGCAACAATGGGTGGGTGGGGGGTTTCTGGGAACATTCAGCAATGTCTTGTAAGACATATTCCTCAGGCAGATATATCAGATAATGACTCAGCAGGCACAGCTGGGTTAGCCTCATCAGGGAGTGAGAGGGCTGGTTCTGCTGGCAGGAGTGATTCAATGGAATTTAGGGGCTTGATGTCCCCAGCTTCCTGATTATCTGCCTTTAAGTCCCCATCTCAAGTTTCAGGATCCCATTTCTTCCCAATCAATCCCCTCATTTTAAATTCAGACATCTTTCTAGGTTGGCAATTCATTTGGCATTGTAATTCAGTCACTCTTATGAGATTCTGGGTTTGGTTTTTGAAGATAAAAGCTCTGTTATTACAGGAGATAAGGGTTTCTTTCAGAGCACAACTGGAAACATTGAGGTCTTTTATGTAGCCCTTGAGCTGTGACTCTGAAGCCCAGACCTCATCTTCTTCCTTCACCACTGGTCTACCATAAATAGGACCAAACAGTGAGCTTTCATATGCTCCTATTTCTGACAAAAACTGCACAAAAAGTATCAAAATATGATCACTCACAGCCTCACTTCTCACCAATACTTAATCTATTGGTGGTTCTATTTTGTGTATTAATATTGTCACCTCACACCATGAATTAGCAATACTGTTTTACAAATGGAGGCAGAGTAATAGTGCCTTATGACTAATCAAACTGGAGAACCAGTTTAGAAAACTCGTCCTTATGATTTTGTTTCTCTAGAACTACTTTCAGTTCCACATGTCTTAGGCTGAGTTCTATAGAGAAGCAAAACCAGTGAATCTTATATATA